GCACCAATGTAGCCGGCGCGGTCTGTTCGTTGCCGACTACTGCGTTGTGTTCCGGTGCACTGAAGACAAGACACTGGCGTACTTGAAGGCACTTTATTGTGTACAACTCTCTCAATCTGTTCAACATCAAAGAGAGAAAATGTTCAAAACTCTACCCTCGACCAGAATCCGCCTCTCCCAGCCGAGTACAATGCAGACTGAGTATAATCACATTCAAAAATACAAGGAATAAAATACAACATCATTGGAAAATAAACATTGCATCTGGTGTATATCTTATGTATGTGTCATATTCATGTTATCTCTGCCAAAAACTCTGAGCTTTTAGCCTTTACATTAATACTGTGCAACATGACATAAACCATCTTTCAAATAGGTAATACATACAGTAATATGCACGAAGCAACATGTAATCCTTCACATTTGAGCTTTTCAGTGCCATTAGACACTAATCAATACATGAAAACATTTTAAATGAACACATATTTTTAACCTGATATAGGGAATACATACCTGTTCAACATCAAAGAGAGAAAATGTTCAAAACTCTACCCTCGACCAGAATCCGCCTAACATAAAAAGAACAACGTGAGCTTCGTCACAAGAGGATAGAATGATGATTGCTAACTTACAGCTAAACAGAACACGAGGTTAGCTAAGTTAGCAATTTCTCAACTCTCAAAAATGGCTAAATTCACGACACAGCTTGATTAAATGTACGTACACTCATCATATAATATACATACAAGTTACTATGTGCACTGAAACGTTTTAGTTTTAACAGGTATATAAAGTTTATGTCACGCCGAAGTGAACACGTACCTCTCCCAGCAGAGTACAATGCAGACTGAGAAAAGCATGACATCCCTCCGCATATAACCAAACCAACACTAGAGGGCGCACTTACACAACTAACTCTCCCAATATCTGTAGACTACACGAAATGCTGAACAATACAATATTTTGGTGAAATCAACTCACAAAATATAATAAAAAATAGAAAATGAACGGTTGCAAAAATCTGTAATTCTTTGACCTGTTACACTACCACTAGAGTGAAAGCACCGCCAGCATTCAAAAGTGACCAAAACATCAGCCAGGAAGCATAGGAACTGAGAAGTGGTCTGTGGTCACCACCTGCAGAACCACTTCTTTATTGGGGGTGTCTTGCTAATTGCCTATAATTTCCACCTGTTGTCTATTCCATTTGCAGAACAGCATGTGAAATGTATTGTCAATCAGTGTTGCTTCCTAAGTGGACAGTTTTATTTCACAGAAGTGTGATTGACTTGGAGTTACATTGTGTTGTTTAAGTGTTCCCTTTATTTTTTTGAGCAGTGTAGTTTGCGTTTTAAAATGGCAAAAAAAAGTCTCCATTCCACGGCAAAATGTATATAATTGCAGGAAATAAGCTTTAAACCTGCAAAATGTTCTCTCCGCCAACAAGAGGGGTGTAGCTCAGTTGGTAGAGCATGGCGTTTGCAACGACAGGGTTGAGGGTTCGTTTCCCACGGGGGGCCAGTATAAAAATAAAAAAAAGTAAGTCGCTCTGGATAAGAGAGTCTGCTAAATGACGTAAATGTAAATGAACAGTTTTTTTCATTAACAGTGCTTATGCCCACAGAAATAGACAGGGGGCACGGGATGTTCCCCAATGCTGGAAGAGGGCCTGAGTGAAAATGTTTGGGAACCCCATAGAATTTCAGTCCAGCCAGGTTGACTTACTGACCTTTGACCCTGCCTTCAGGTGCTAGGCGCTGGTATGATCCAGGAGTTTGACGAGCCGTACGTCCTGCTTCAGAACCAGGAAAGTGCCCTCTACAGGATAGTCCAGCAGACGGGCAAGGCCGAGGCAGCTGCCCTGCTGGAATCAGCCAAACAGGTGAGCACTGACACTACATCCCAACCCAGCACACACATTCTCTCAACCTAACTTGATTTCTTTAGTTTAATCAATACACTAACAATTTCTTCAAAAAAAGTTTAGCCAGAACATCTGTATAATTTGTTTATTAATCATTTTATTCCATCATTGCCATGACTAATGACTTTCCTGATGACTTGACTGGTATATTACACTTTTGGTAAATTCTGATAGCCCAACTCAAAATGTCTACCAAGTCACTGACACAGTTCACAATATTTTCATTCAGGCGTATGTGAACAACAGCAACGGTCCAAAAAAGGCCAACGGAGTGGTGGTCTTCTTTGAGACGGTCGTGTGACGGTGCAGGCACTTGACGAGCAGAAAGAGATCAATTGGGCAGATATCAAATTTTTTCCACTAATTGGTCTTTTGACCAATCACATCAGATCTTTTCACATATCTTTTTCAGAGCTGATCGGTCCAAAAATGATAATTGGGCTGCCTGTGTAAACGCAGCCAGAGTAATATTTATGGTAAGCTGTTGATTACTTGTTTACATGCAAAATCAGGAAAGATTTATGGAACTGACTTTTTAAATATGCAGTGCTTTATCAGTTATTTTTTAAATTAAAATAAGGAAGCAAAATGTCCTTCCTTACTGGCACTTTGCTGATGTGTTGCATCTTTAATACTACTTTTACTCATCATTGACAATCATAAGAATAGTGTTACAACAATGGAAGTAGCATTGCATTTTCATACTTTGTGCCTCAATCTTATAGTATTTGAACTGCTGCTACTCCTATTGATTTATCCTACTGCACAGTACACAATATCCTGACATCATGCTGCACCGTCCATGCAATCACTTTACTGGGCAATGGAACTAATTGGAGTGTGTATTCATATACTATACGTGCAATGGAAAATTACACTTCACCATTGTATGCACATTAAAAAACATGCTGTCATTATGCTATAAGGTATTTGGGGATTTATGGGAATTAACTTGACCAAAGTGAGTAACCCATGTATGTCTCAGGTTGTATGCATGAGTGAAAGCTGTGTAACGGTTGTAAGGACTATCTAGATCATTTAAAAAGCAGGAATACCTACCCGTCAATGTGAAAATGCATTGAACTATATGCTGTTATCTTGAACGTTGACTTATTCCCTAATGGGGCAGTATGGAGAGACCTTGACCTTTTGATTCCTTTGATTTTGCTTTTTTAAAATGTTTTTGTAGTGGATGTAAAATAAATTGTTTTCCCAAAGGTGTTCTTAATTTTATATGTACCTATAGCAACATAGTACCTCTGTTTCAGATATATTGATGTTCCTTACACAGTGAAGTTTTGTAAAATAATATTGTGAAATGTAACCTTAATTTTAATACAAACTGTTATTTAAGTCTCTTATGTGACGTCTTCAAAGCAAACATGTAGTTGCTCTTCTTTTGGAGTTTGTTAATACTATCAGCATTGACTAAAGAAAAGGGACCAAAATGATAGCTCCTCAATTTTACACCACCTTTTCCTTTTCATAGGCTGGTTTTGTAAGCCTCTTTCCACAATTTCACTTTACCCTCTTCAAACACACACTTAAACAGTATTACATTATCCACCTTTATAGACATGAACATTTTCAGGGAAACCAAATATACACAGGTTTTACAAGTATATCAAGAATATAAATGCATAATCTGTGACTTTTTGCAGTGAAAATACTTGTGTGTAACTCATGACTATTTAAGGACAACCTTACGCAATGTGAGTAGGAGGATGCATTATATTAGGCTGACATCAGATATTTTTCAGACCTGAAAAAAATATCCAAATTGGTCTGCCTGTCTAAACGCAGCAGTAGAGTTTTCCTTATCCAATCTTGTTCTAAGGACGAATGTGAATGGTCAGTGGGTGGAGCTTGCAAGAGGTGAGAGCAGGTGAGAGTCAAATAAATAACCTAATTTTAGGGAGGTGGATGGAGGGTGTTAAACGCGGGTTGTGACAGGCTAGGTTGCCAGGTCAAATCTGGCATGAGACTTTTGTTTTTCAACCTTACCCAACATTCCTCACATTTCTAATCTACATGACTAACTGACTGAACAGCTTTAAATATGTGAAACAACCAGGGTGGTGCCCTCCCCCTGTTGGCACCGTGGACTAGGTACAGGGATATGGACCAGAAGGTCACAGGTTCTAATCTTGTTGATGCCAAGCCAGAGGTTCAAATTTCAGTGTGGTTTTTGTTTTCTAACCTTACCCCAACCCCTATTCCTGAACATAAACAATCACCTTTGTTTCTGCCCTCTACAGAACATCTAATAAGGAAAACCACATTTATCAGTCCTGTGAATTTCCTCACATAAACATATCACCACGTCAACGGTTGCATTAGTGAAACGAGATGATTTTACAATTGTATTAAAAAAAATGGATTAGGGGCTTTATTCAATCCGTATGGCGGAAGTTCCACACTATAGCGCGATTGAAAGGCAACGTTCCCACATTCGGAGACTGTATTCAAGGTAAACGCCACATGTCAGCTTAATCAGAAATTACCTTTACATTTTAATCATGCTATAATGCAGATCTTCTGCGCTACAGATTTAATCTAGCCCTTAGTCACTCAGAAATAGAAATGTAAGTGACATTTATTCACGTAAACTAATCCGACAAGACCTGAGGATGAGGATCAATGCTGAATATAAAAGGGACATACAGTAAATTCTATCAATTACAAGCTAGAAAAGCTCCCTCCATTTCTTAAAAACCCAGTGCAGTCAAACGCGATTTACCTAGGTTAGGTTGCCAGTTAGAATCCGGCGTGTGACTTTTGTTTTTCAACCTTACCCAACATTCCTCACTAATCACATTTCTAATCTACATGACTAACCATTTCTTAAAGACCCAGTGCAGTCAAACTTGATTTTCCTGTGTTTTATATACATTTCCACACTGAGGTTGGAGTAATACTGTGAAATTATGAAAATGATGATGCCCTTGCTGTTTGAAAAGACTGCCTGAAATGTCAGCCTATTTTGAGATAGTTTTGGCCTTCCATGGTGATGTCACCATGCGGTAAATTAGTTAATAGACCAATAAGAAAGAGCGTTCCAAACCTCTCTGCCAATTGTCAGTTTTCCCCTCCCCACTCACGCCACTCCCAGACAGTATTAGCAAAAGATTTGCCTGAGAAACTGCCCTAAATATTTAGTGGGATTAATATTCAAGCTACCTGAGTATTGAGTTTCAGAAGACATTCGCAAGCCCTATTTGGTACATTGATGCAGTAACTACAGCACATACAGTAAATAATGCATTTGGAGCTGCTGGTGCAAATAAGTTGTTAAAGAATAGAAAATCACTTGTGTACAAAAAAAGTGTTACATTTTACAGGAGATTGATTTGGTATGGCTAAATAACTTACGTTTTTACTTTGAATACACATTACTACATTTATAATAAATATGAATTATACAAACAGATTATGATTCATCTAAAACTGCTGCTAAAAAAATGAAGGCACCAGGTAAACTACATGACATCGTTTTTCCATTCAATCAGATAATAGGCCAGAAATGAATCTAAGGAAAGAGTCCTCTAAAATGTTGGCCCTTGTAAATTGTATACACAAGTCTGGCAAAAATATTTATCAGTCAAGTCACCATTATACAATCAATTGTCATGGGTCTCGTAGGTTATTCCTTTAAATCGATTGATTGGTTATTGCATGTTCATTTAAATGATACATTAAACAAATAAAATAAATAAGGGTTTGGTTGGACCGTTAACGTTTAGTGTTATCCCACCACGTACTTTCCCAACTTTTTTAGCTTGGGGAAAAATCCCTACAACTGCATAAGTGGATTTGACTCAACTCAGCCTGTGGCACACTGGACCAAACCGTTCCACCGCTTTGCAGCTTCCTGTCCAACTGGAGTTTCCAACATGGAGTTTTTGCAGGGTGATAAGGCACTGTTGATCTCTGTAGACTGGAGAATGCCATGGGACTGCAGTACCAGTCGACTCCGAGGAGCAGCACTCCAGGCTTTAAACAATAGTCAAAGCCTCCTCCAGGCTGTTACAGGGCCGTCTCAAAGATGACCAAGTTGCCGTCTGCTCCGACCCCTCCGTTGGTCGTACTGGGACGACTCCGGCTATTGTATGCCTGAATCAAGACGAGACAACCGGTGTTAGTGTACGCCAACCCGAAACGCCAGAGGTATGTGGTGGACGCACAAAAACGCTGTCAGACCATTTCAATTTTCTGCCACGAGGAGAGAGTGACCGTATGTTGTCACAGCTGCTACCGTTTACTACTGCAGAGGGCAATGGCCTCCTCCTGCCTTTCTCCATCTTGAAAAGATCGTCGTGTCTAACAGGGTGTGGCTCGTCGATGCGTGATTACCGCGTTAGAACCTGGAACAGAGTCAGTTATTAGTAGTTATGGTCTTCTTAGGATCCAAAGGACCTGACCAGCCTTGGCATAAAATAAAACCAGTGTATAATAAATATATATACACACACAAAACAATTATAATACTGTAGAGTAGACAGATACCCAGTTGGTTGTGTAACTGTGGAGAGCTCTCACCAGAATGCGGTCGCTGTCTATGATGGTGTTGAGGCGGTGGGCGATGGTGAGCACGGTGCACTCCCTGAATTTGTCTCGTATCGTCTTCTGGATCAGCTCGTCTGTTCTACAGAGCCAGGAGACATACAGACAGGTCAGGACACACTCACGCTTTCCTCTACTACTAGATGCCCCAGTCTTATGCTGCGTTCATAACCAAGTGGGAAGGTGGTAATTACCAGTTGGATGCATTCATATGCTTTGAACTAATTGAGAAAAGACGAGTGGCTAATTGACAACAGGCTGCATCAGACTACAATTACAGCTATCATGCCTGTAAATAAATTAGTGTTCGAAAACCATATTACTAAATTGCTTTTTATAAAACAAATAATGTTTCATTTAACTGCCAAAAATGCTGTTATCGAGAATTTCCTTAGTAGGTGACATCAGAGGTCAGCATGTGAGAGAAGTCGGAGCCAGGGGTGATAACATTTCCCCACTAGTAAATTTCCAGTTTGGGGGGGCCTTCAAGTGGACTTCCCCCTGTAAGTGGGAAAACCCCCTTCCCACTTGGTTATGAATGCAGCATTTTAACATATCAGCTGTCTTCTGCTCTCGCCTAGGAAAAGATTGGGGGGTTTTTGTGTTGTGTGGAGAGAGGCCTTCTTTTCCTGGGGGGCCCCGTTGGGGCTCCCAAGTAAAAAGCCTCCATCAGTACCACTACGGCCGCCAGGACTCAAATCCTGCACGCAAGACGTGTCCCCCTGCTTAAGCCAGTACTGTCCAGGCCTGTCTGATTTTTGCTAGAGTGCATTTGGATGTCCAGAAGAGGATTGGGAGAATTCATATGGTCGATGAAACCAAAATAAACTTTTTGGAAAAAACTCAACTCGTCGTGTTTGGAGGAAAAAGAATGCTGATTTGCATCCAAAAACCCACACCTACTGTGAAGCATGGGGTGGAAACACCCTGCTTTGGGGCTGTTTTTCTGCAAAGGGACCAGGACGACTTATCCTGTAAAGGAAAGAATAAATGGGGCCATGTATCGTGAGATTTTGAGTGAAAACCCTCCTTCCATCAGAAAGGGGCATTAAAGATGAAACGTGGCTGGGTCTTTCAGAAATGACATGATCCCAAAACCCCACACCGCCGGGGCAACGAAGGATGGCTTCGTAAGAAGCATTTCAAGGTCCTGGAGTGGCCTAGCCAGTCTCCAGATCTCAACCCCATAAAAAATCTTTGGGAGGGAGTTGAAAGTCCGTGTTGCCCAGCGACAGCCCCAAAACATCACTGCTCTAGGAGATCTGCATGGAGGAATGGGCCAAATACCAGCAACAGTGTGTGAAAACCTTGTGAAGATTTCCCCAGAAAACGTTTTGACCTGTGTCATTCCCAATAAAGGGTATATAACAAAGTATTGAGAAACTTTTGTTATTGACCAAATACTTATTTTCCACCATCATTTGCAAATAATTCATACCTCATGTGTTTTGGGTCTGTCGCACAATGAAAACAGGCTCCCACACAGGTGCTGACTAGTATGTGGTGGACGCACAAGAACACAGCTCCCACACATCTGTGTGGTAGCATGACACTGAACATTTCTAAGCTATTTCACTGCCAGAGGACAGAGTGGGAGAGTAAAGTAGACCTGCTCTGTTGAGTCAGCGAGCTGCTTACCTGTTTAGCTAACTGCAGGAGGGCAACGGCCTCCTGCCTGCCTGTCTGCTGGACCATCTTGAAGAAGATACCGTCGTGGTTCTGAAGCAGGGTGTAGGGCTCGTCGTATGCGTGGATCTGACCCGCGTCTAGAACCTGGGAACAGAGTCAAGTTATATAGTAAGTAATCTATGGTCTATCATTAAGGATCCAAAAGGACCTGACACAAGCCCTTGGACATAAAATGAAAACCAGTGTATTATATATATATATATATATACACACACAAAACAATTATAATACTGTAGAGTAGACAGATACCCAGTTGGTTGTGTAACTGTGGAGAGCTCTCACCAGAATGCGGTCGCTGTCTATGATGGTGTTGAGGCGGTGGGCGATGGTGAGCACGGTGCACTCCCTGAATTTGTCTCGTATCGTCTTCTGGATCAGCTCGTCTGTTCTACAGAGCCAGGAGACATACAGACAGGTCAGGACACACTCACGCTTTCCTCTACTACTAGATGCTCCCAGTCTTATGCTGCGTTCATAACCAAGTGGGAAGGTGGTAATTACCAGTTGGATGCATTCATATGCTTTGAACTAATTGAGAAAAGACGAGTGGCTAATTGACAACAGGCTGCATCAGACTACAATTACAGCTATCATGCCTGTAAATAAATTAGTGTTCGAAAACCATATTACTAAATTGCTTTTTATAAAACAAATAATGTTTCATTTAACTGCCAAAAATGCTGTTATCGAGAATTTCCTTAGTAGGTGACATCAGAGGTCAGCATGTGAGAGAAGTCGGAGCTCAGGGATGATAGACAAGTTTCCCCACTAGTAATTACCAGTTGGATGGGCCTTCAAGTGGATCGTTCCCAGTCGTAAGTGGTAAATACCACCTTCCCACTTGGTTATGAATGCAGCATTAAAGCATATCAGCTGCCTCTGCTGCTCAGCTCTAAAGGACAGATGGGAGGTGTGTGTGTGAGAGAGGCATGTCTTTACCTGGGGTCCACATTGGCCGTGGCCTCATCGATGATGAGGATGCGGTTCTTCCTCAGGACGGCTCGGGCCAGACAGACCAGCTGCCTTTGACCCACGCTGAAGTTGGAGCCCGACTCGGCCAGAACCGTCTCCATCTTATTAGGCAGCTCCTCCACCACAGACTTCAGCTGGACCTGGAGAGGAAACAGTTACTGGAGTAAGACCCTGATGACACCAAAAGCCCATTAACCTGTATGTACATGTGTGAGAGTATATCTCATTACTGTATCTGTATCAATAGGAGTCTGAGGAGCAGTACCTCTTGGAGAGCGTTCCACAGGTCCTCGTCTGTGTGCTGGCTGAAAGGGTCCAGGTTCTTCCTCATGGTGCCGGTGAAAAGCACTGGGTCCTGCAGAACAGAGGGGCCACAAGCAGAAAAATGTAATAAGCTCTAACAGAGCCATATCTGAAAACTAGAAGAAACCTTTCCTTTCCTACATTCAGAAGGACTAAGGGACAGAGCAGCCACAGAAGAGCCTCCTACAGTAGCTACCTGAGGTATGATGGACATCTTCTGGCGCAGGTCATGAAGGCCGATCTCGGAGGTCAGAACTCCATCGATGTAGATCCTGCCCTCTGGCTCTGCCAGGCGGAAGAGCGCCGATACCAGGGAGCTTTTCCCCGCACCCGTCCTGCCCACGATGCCAACCTTCTCTTTGGGCCTGAACATGGCCTTCATGTCCTTCAGGACCACAGGTCCGTCTGAGCTGTAGGAGAAGCTGACCCGGTCAAAGGTTATGAGGCCTTGGCTCGGCCACTCAGGAGGAGGACGCTTCTGGGTTTCCCAGGGTGCTTCACTCTCCAGCTCTGTGTACTCCACTACCCTCTCTACTGACGTCATCTGAGGACAGTGAATAAACAACAATTTCAGTCAAATAGCCCTGGCTTTTGTACTAGCATTGCTTCTCATTGGGGGCGATCTCCCTGCCATCCAAGAAGGAAGGCCCAGAAAATCATTGAAGACTCCAGCCACCCAAGCCATAGACTGTTCTCTCTGCTTCCACACGGTAAGCGGTACCGGTGCATCAAGTCTGACACCAACAGGCTCCTGAACAGCTTCTATCTCCAAGCCATAAGACTGCTAAATAGCTAACAAAATGGCTACACGGACTGTCTGAGTTGACCCGTGTATTTAATTTAGTCTCTATGCTCACTCACAGGACTCTACACACTCACACTCATTTCATTTCCTCACACATACACATTTATACTGACTGTATACACACACATATACATACTATCATCATATATCCTGAAGCCTAGTCACCTAACCCCTATACATATCTACCTCTATCCCTGCACATTGTAAATATGGTACTGGAACTGACTGACCCTGTATATAGTATGCTGACTTACTTTCTCCTGTTCTTCTTATTTCTATTTCCGGTGTGTTTTTGTACTACCTTATGTTATTTTTAGTATTACTTTGATAACTTCATTGTTGGGTTTAGAGCTTGCAAGAAAGGCATTTCACTGTACTTGTGCACGTGACATTAATATAATAAATAATAATAATAATAAATAATAAATAATAATAAATAAACATTACAACTTGAAACTAAAAGCACTATAGAGTGGCATTAAGAAGCTTCAGAAAACACTCAGGCTGGATTCTTGAAAGAGCTGTTATGGACAAACATTCCATTGTGGCATGATTACCAGCATGAACAAGACGAAAGGTCTAATAGTTCAGGAGGCAGTTCCAGAGTCACCGCTAATAGTTCTGAGAACTGGGTTACACATCTCAATCAACATATTTCCAGACTAAGTTGTCTGGCGGCTTTGTAAAGCACCCCAGGTGTTTTTGTAAAGCATGTAGAGTCTCTGAAGAAGGGGTTGATTGTAAATACAGGTGTTCCTCTACATATCTGGTTATCTCACCATGTTCTCCACCTCGGCACTCTGTCGTACCCCCCACTGGAACATCCCCATGAGAGTCACAGCGTAGGATAACGCCAGGCCTACAGATCCAGCCTCCACCTCTAACAAGGCCATAAGAAAAACAAACAGGACACTGATTAGACCCAATGTTCAATCAATCGTTGCTATTCTACGTCCGGACTGGCAACAAGCTGCAGTTTTCCTAACCTCCTTCAGCCCAAGTGTACTCTGTAATTGTGTTAGTTCTGTGTGCCGTTGTCCCTTACGGTCTCGGAGCAGAAGGCAGCCGAAGGCGGTGATGGTGACGAAGATGGCGCACATGCCATCCAGGCGGACGGCGAACCAGCGAGAGGTGACCAGGAACAGGAACCAGGATTCTGAGAGACGAGAGACACTGATTCAGTTATACTCCTATAGAACGGACCGCACAGAGCTGAGACTGGGTAGAATGTATACATGTTATTAAATATCATTCTCCATCAATGTACTTAGACCCACTGGAGGCAAACAAAACAGAAGTAAGGCAGCATTGAGGCAGTATTGAAAGGAGAACCACCTGAGTGCAGATCCTGATAAGCGTCAAAGGTGTTCTGGAATCTCTCCTCGGCTCTGAAGGCTCGGATCGTCCACAGACCTTGGAGGGACGAGGACAGGTGGGAGAAGACGGGACTCCGAGCTGCAGAGAGACACATGGTTACTGATTACTGTCCGTGCGCGCACACACACACACACACTATAAAGCAAAAGGCCACTGGCACTCACTAGTGGATTCCAGGCGTTTGACGTCTCGTGACGTCTGCAGGAAGTAGCGTCTCAGGAACAGGAAGATGATGATAAGAGGAACCAATGGGATGAGGATCCAGGGGATGACAGAGGCCGCTACAGCGACCACACCGATGATCTGCAGGAATATCTACTCAGGAAAACAGCCCCAAAGACATAACCAGAGGAGAGGGAACAGGTTAACTGGTGATAGAATACTAAATACCTTGTGAAGATGCAGGGCCAAAATGTGTCGTGGCTCACCTGAATGAAGTCCACAAAGGTCCAAGGTAAGGCTGAGTCCAGTTGGCCGATGTCCTTAGAGAAGCGGTTGAGGACTCTTCCTGGGACACAACAGGAGAGAAGACCAGGAATTTAAAAAATACTTATCTTTCTTTGTCTACAGATATAGAGTAAACACAAATGCAGCATCTCTCAACACAGAAAAACTGGCAACAGAAAATCACTTTCCCTATATGTTCCAATTTGCGCATGGCTTATGGCTCACCAATTGGGTTAATGTCAAAGAAGCGTACAGGCGTCCGGAGGATAGAGTTGAACATGCGGTTGTGTAGCGACTGAGCAGCTTTCACCAGCAAATTGAACATCACCAGACTCCTGGCAAAGCCAAAGATGAGAGTTGCTCCAGTCAAACCTGAAAACACAGATTTTCATTTTAGGATGTACAATTTCGAAGCACACATGTAACACAGACAGAAACACAAAGGTTATAGAGGAAGAAAGACTGTCTGCATGACACTATTCTAGGAGTAGCAAAACAATTCCCAGAGTAGAGTTTCCACTGTGTCACACCTGCGTAAATTCCTAGGTAGAAATCCAGGTTCAGCTCTTCAGTGACATTGACACCATTTTGGATGATCACAGTGCCGTTAACATTGAGCTTCTCCTGCTCTCCTGCCCTGTCAATCACAGAGGAGACAGAGCTAAAGCACAGAGCCAGTCCCAACACAGCATGTTAAAAGGGTCACATGACAGTGGCATGAATGGAAATGAACGGTGAAATGAATCAAACTTCTTACCAGTATGCCAACCACCAGTCCTGCAGAATATATGCTGCCTGCACACAAAAACACCAGTATGTGAGTAGGCCTAGATCATTTAATCAAGTAGTCGTCATCAGATTTAATTTCTTCCGCACTACTAGTGCCGTTTTTGACCATGTAGGTGTACTGGGGATATGATGTCATTACCTGAGCTAGGAACTGGAGTAATAGAACTCCTATCAACACCAGGATGTTGGCGCCTGCCTTCAGGTACTTGACATAGAGGCCGACGCCGATGGTCCCCTCTGAGCGGCTCTCCTCTGCTACTGTCTGGACAGGCTCCGCCTGCAATATACACAAACATCTTAGAATTTATTGGGGGTTATTCATTAAAGCCACTGCAAATAAATTGACGCATGATATCTGCACAACAATGTTAAGTGAGTCATTCTATGCACTTTCTGTGTAGGAGATAAACTCTTTAGAGGTTCAAGCACGAGGGAAGTTGAGAACTGTGTGTTGGGGAACCTGAGCATGTCAACAAGATACAAATTAACTTGTCTTTTTAAGGAAAGTACATGTACTTTGCTGTGGCTTGCATAGCTTCTACTAAAATTACAAGGCAACAATTGTCCCCCACGAATGATGCAGTCCCCCCTCCCTCCCCCTCCCCCTCCCTTGGGCCAATTGAAATCTCACGTGTGACTAAAGAATTTCAGTTAATTACTACAGCTCCTGCCTTGGGCCAATCAGTGTAATTGTGTAAATGCCAGATCTCTATGGCAAGACATCATTCACCCAAGTCTCGTCAAAATCGGGCCAGTGCTGTCTGAGATATCGCGTGTGGCTAACGGACTGAGACGGATCCACAGTCCCCTTCCCGATTTTATCGTGGGGGACAATAAACACTTGTTTTTTTAACGAAAGTAGGACATGTACTTTGCTGTGGCTTGCAAACTTCTACTAAAAGTTTGTAATCACTTCCCTCTTGTGGGCAAAAAGAGCAAGCACAGGTACAACTCTTTCTTCACTCACTGCTTTGCTACAAAATATAAAATCAGGGACACATCAGAGTGAACATGCTCCTAGCGACTATCTAAGGGCTGGACCCACCGGAAGCTGTTCAGTTCCATCTTTAACAGAGCGTATGGAGGAGGTGTGGGAGACCACTGAATTCTGGGAGAGGGTGCGGCTGCGCGGCGAGCGGCTTTCAGTCTCCGCGCCTGGGGCTTGTGGCCCCTCCTCCTCGTCCCTCTTCAGCAGGGAGGTGAAGTCGACCCCAGAGCGCTGGAGTTCGCTGTACGTCCCCCTTGCCACCATGTGACCCTGAAACAGACACACAAAGGTCAAACCCCACCAAACATATGGAGTCTCTATGTAATGTACACGTCTGTGTGCATTTATACAAGTGTTCCTACATACGTTTACACTAAAACCTCCGTTTAACCCATGGTAACACATACCTCCCCCTGCTTGTAGTGCGGGTCCTGCATTAACTTAAGCACAGGGTAAGCATGTGTGTTCCTAAGTAGTCTTAAAGCATGTGTGGAATGTTAAACCCTGCCAGGAACACACCTCCTTGAGGACGAGGATCTGGTCGGCTGCTTGGAGGTACTGCAACTGGTGGGTGACCAGGATGCGGGGCTTATTCTTCAGAATACCACAGATACACCTGGACACAACACATGATGACAGACAGACACTGAGATTGCAGCATCCACATCAAAAACACAGATTTACTCTTACAATGCTATTGAAACCTGTTCTAACTGTTAGAGCTTTTTATAAAAGTGAGACCTGCACAGTTAAAGTGCTGCCCACCACTCATCACTGCCCTTCTGGTTCCATTATTCATGCCTGAACCCTTTCCAGGGGACCATGTCATGTGACAGGAAGAGGTAGAGTAGGGCTCTGTTGCCATTGTGTGCCTGACAGTGGCAGCAGCACCACTCCTTTTCCTGCCTTCCTACCCTCACTGGTCCCCACCGGGCCTCTCTGCTGTGATCAGAGGCTAGGGCTGCTTTGATGGAGACCTCAGGGAGGTTGGAATAGAGCGCTCCAGGCTTTCCGCTGGTCTGCCAGATAAATCACCAGTCGCCAACAAAGGACTGGGGGACAGGAGCAGGAACAGACTGCTTCATAATGCCCCAGAACAATAGTGGAAGTACTGTACATACCCCAGTTTATTCTTCAGTAAGAGAGTAGTTCATTCACTGCACTAAATGCTTCAGTAAGTCAGTAGTTAATTCACTTTATTACCTGCTTCAGTAAGAGAAAAATACATTGCTGTATGCTTCACTCATGATCAATGATGTCATTGCCAATGTTACAGTAGCACATATTGTTTAGACTTGGTGAGCTACCCTGTGGCAATACCAGTGAAGCGTATGCTCAGTGTTGGAAAAAGTACCCAATTCTCATACTTGAGTGAAAGTGTAGATACCTTAATAGAAAGTTACTCAAGTATAAGTGAAAGTCAGCCACTAAAGTACTACTTGAGTAAAAGTCTAAAAAAGTATTTGGTGTTAAATATACTTAAGTATCAAAAGTAAAAATCATTCAAAAATCATTTATTTAAATTTTTTATGTATGGATAGCCAGGGGCACACTCCAACACTCAGACAGTATTTACAAAAGATGCAATTGTGTTTAGTGAGTCTGTCAGATCAGAGGCAGTAGGGATGACCACGTGTTCTCTTGATAAGTGTGTGAATTGGACAATTTTCCTGTCCTGCTAATCATTCAAAATGTAACGAGTACTTTTGTTTGTCAGGGAAAATGAATGGAGTAAAAAGTACAATATTTTCTTTAGGAATGTAGTGAAGAAAAATATAAATAGTAAAGTACAGATACTCCAAAAAAACTAAGTACTTTAAACCACTGCTTTTGCTGCTGCAAAATAGAGGAGCTTGCCACTGGGCACAGACATCAATTCAACGTCTATTCCACGTTGGTTCAACGTCATTTCATTGAAATGACATGGAAACAACTTGGATTCAACCATTGTGTGCCCAGTGGGTTGTGTTTTCTATCTTTTTGCTCTTTTACAATCATGTTGATACAGTCTACTGAGAGCAAAGTCCTATCAGTGTACTATTGTATTGCATCACTCTATTCAGTTGTAAAAGGTCCTTGAGGATCTGAGTTTATCTCATCATAGTGGTGTAAAAATAAACAACCTGTTCAGCTGAAACTGTAGTTCACTCACTGTTCAAACAGGTGTCTCCCGACCTCAGCATCCACAGCACTTAGAGGGTCGTCCAGCAGGTAGATATCAGCATCCTGATACACAGCCCTGAGACACAACAACAAGGCTTTCAGATAGAGACAGGAGGATATTCATCACATCTATAGAATGTACCTCAACTCATTTCTACTCTGGTATGAAGTGGAGCTGTAGTCTTACCGGGCCAGGTTCACTCTAGCTTTCTGTCCCCCACTGAGGGTGGCTCCTCTGTCCCCGATCACTGTCAGGTCCCCATCTGGCAGCAGCTCCATGTCCTGAACACAGAAGGGACAACAGGGGTTAATAGGACCCACAACCATCACAATCCCTCAAACAGGAGGACTATAATGACTATGTGCAGGACATGATCTTCCACACACAGAGGGAATGCAGTTTGTACACAGTGAAAGGGGACAGTGTTAGTGTCACAGAGTGCATGGCTGTGGAAGTGACACTACGGATCACAGTGTGTTTGTGTGCTCTCCATGGGAAGTGAATGTGTGGCTGAAAGTCCAGTCCTCTGATCAAAGAGAAAGTGTGTTTATAGAGCAGATGTCAGTTTCATGTGGTTGTGAGAGAGTGAATCTAGTCTCACATTGTGTTCAATAGGGCACAAGGGACTGAGTGTGCCTGTGTTCATGTAGGAGTGTTGAAAGCTCTGCTGGAAGGCGTGCCACCCAGAGCCCAAGGTGCTGGTGCTCTTTGCACTCAAAGTTCAAGAGATCCAACCGTCACAATGGAGCTTCACCAATCCTTGCATTTAGCAATCTCCCAGCATTAAATACCATGAGAGCTCCATTCAGTGTGTCTTACCCTCTTGAGGGCGCAGGCTCTCAGGACCTTCTCATACTTCTGAGGATGGAGCGCTTTGCCAAACAGGATGTTGCTGCGGATGGTTCCGGGGAACACCCAGGGCTGCTGGGAGGCGTAGGTCAGCTGACCTTTGACCTTCAACACCCCCTTGTCGTGAGGCATCTCCCCCAGGATGGCGCTGAGCAGAGAGGACTGTGGGAAATGTGAAGGGGGAACAGGTGAGCTTGATAGGAAGAACATACACAGAGTGTACAAAACATTAGGAACACCTTCCTAATATTGAGTTGCACCCCCTCCCCTCTTTTGCCCTCAGAACAGCCTCAAATCATTGGGCATGGACTCTACAATGTGTCGAAAGCATTACACAGGGATGCTGGCCCATGTTGACTCCAATGCTTCCCACAGTTATGTCAAGTTGGCTGGATGTCCTTTGGGTGGTGGACCATTTTTGATACACATGGGAAAACTGTTGAGTGTGCAAAACCCAGCAGCATTGCAGTTCTTGACACACTCAAACCAGTGTGCCTGGCACCTACTACCATACCCCGTTCAAAGGCACTTACATCTTTTGTCTTGCCCATTCACCCTCTGAATGGCACCATGTCTCAATTGTCTCAAGGCTTAAAAATCCTTCTTTAACCTGTCTCCTCCCCTTCATCTACACTGATTGAAGTGGATTTAACAAGTGACATCAATAAGGCATCATAGCATTGACCTGGATTCACCTGGTCAGTCTGTCATGGAAAGAGCAGGTATTGATCAACACTCAGTGTACATAAATAAAGGCACTATGTCACAGTCAGAGGAGGAAACCTCAATGTTTACACATATTGCAATACCGGTTTCTGAGTCACACTGTAGCTAAATAAATATTGTAGTTGGCTTACTGCCCTCTTTCTACGTTGGCTGTCCTCGTACAGTGATGTAATAGGCTGTCACACCAAGCTAAGAAACATGACCTCTGACCTTTCCAGCCCCCACAGGTCCAATGACAGCGACGAGCTGCTCTGACTTTACTGTGAGTGACAGGTTCTGGAGAGACGGGGCGTCCTGACTCTGTACAGAGTGAGAGAGGGGACATTTCAGGTTAGACTTTATTATAACAGTTGTAATACAGTGAGCTCCAAAAGGCATAAATATACAAATGCTAACCTCTCTTGTTTTTGTAATGGTGAGAGGTTAGCATGTCTTGGGGGTATGATCTAACTTTCTCACTCCATTATCCACAGTTCATTCATTAACGTAGAAGTGTTTAGAAATATAATATTCTTATTTACAATAAGTGACTCCAAAATGACACAATACATTATTTACCATTCATTTCTATTGGGCACAGAATCATTTGAAACACAACCAAAACAAACAGCAAATGCATCCAACAAGTTTGTAGAGTCACAACCTTGATGTAGTCATTGCGTGCTAGGATTATGGGACCAAATACTAAACTGTTGACTACTTTAATACACATAAGTGAATTTGTTTATAGACAATTTTGGTCCCCTAAAATGTGGGGACTATGTACAAAAAGTGCTGCAATTTCTAAACACTTCACCCGATATGGAATGAACATACCCTCAAATTAAAGCTGACAGTCTGCACTTTAACCTCATAGTCTCACTTAAAATCCAAAGTGCTGGAGTAGAGAGCCAAAACAACAACAATATTGTCACTGTCCCAATACGTTTGGAGCTCATTGTATACACACAAGACAAATAGCATCAAGCTGTAATAAAAGTGGTCAGATGACGCAGATGCTAAGCTACAGGACTGTTTTGCTAGCACAGACTGGAACATGTTCCGGGATTCTTCAGACAGCATTGAGGAGTACACCACATCAGTCACTGGCTTCATCAATAAGTGCATCGATGATGTCGTCCCCACAGTGACCGTACGTACATACCCCAACCAGAAGCCATGGATTACAGGAAACATCCGCACTGAGCTAAAGGGTAGAGCTGCCGCTTTCAAGGAATGGGACTCTAACCCGGACGCTTATAAGAAATCCCGCTATGACCTCCGACGAACCATCAAACAGGCAAAGAGTCAATACAGGTCTAAGATTGAATCGTACTACACTGGCTCTGACGCTCGTCGGATGTGGCAGGGCTTGAAAACTATTACAGACTACAAAGGGAAGCACAGCCGCGAGCTGCCCAGTGACACAAGCCTACCAGACGAGCTAAACCACTTCTATGCTCGCTTCGAGGCAAGCAACACTGAAGCATGCATGAGAGCACCAGCTGTTCCGGATGACTATGTGATCACGCTCTCCGTAGCCGATGTGAGTAAGACTTTTAAGCAGGTCAACATTCACAAGGCCGCAGGGCCAGACGGATTACCAGGACGTGTACTCCGAGCATGTGCTGACCAACTGGCAAGTGTCTTCACTGACATTTTCAACATGTCCCTGACTGAGTCTGTAATACCAACATGTTTCAAGCAGACCACCATAGTCCCCGTGCCCAAGGACTCTAAGATAACCTGCCTAAATGACTACCGACCCGTAGCACTGACGTCTGTAGCCATGAAGTGCTTTGAAAGGCTGGTCATGGCTCACATCAACAGCATTATCCCAGAAACCCTAGACCCACTCCAATTTGCATACCGCCCCAACAGATCCACAGATGATGCAATCTCTATTGCACTCCACACTGCCCTTTCCCACCTGGACAAGAGGAACACCTACGTGAGAATGCTATTCATTGACTACAGCTCAGCATTCAACACCATAGTGCCCTCTAAGCTCATCACTAAGCTAAGGATCCTGGGACTAAACACCTCCCTCTGCAACTGGATCCTGGACTTCCTGACGGGCCGCCCCCAGGTGGTAAGGGTAGGTAACAACACATCTGCCACACTGATCCTCAACACGGGGGCCCCTCAGGGGTGCGTGCTCAGTCCCCTCCTGTACTCTCTGTTCACCTATGACTGCATGGCCAGGCACGACTCCAACACCATCATTAAGTTTGCCGACGACACAACAGTGGTAGGCCTGATCACCGACAACGATGAGACAGCCTATAGGGAGGAGGTCAGAGATCTGGCCGTGTGGTGCCAGGACAACAACCTCTCCCTCAACGTGACCAAGACAAAGGAGATGATTGTGGACTACAGGAAAAAAAAAGAGGACTGAGCACGCCCCCATTCTCATCGACGGGGCTGTAGTGGAACAGGTTGAGAGCTTCAAGTTCCTTGGTGTCCACATCACCAACGAACTATCATGGTCCAAACACACCAAGACAGTCGTGAAGAGGGCACGACAAAGCCTATTCCCCCTCAGGAGACTAAAAAGATTTGGCATGGGTCCTCAGATCCTCAAAAAATTCTACAGCTGCACCATCGAGAGCATCCTGACTGGTTGCAATCACCGCCTGGTATGGCAACTGCTTGGCCTCCGACCGCAAGGCACTACAGAGGGTAGTGCGTACGGCCCAGTACATCACTGGGGCAAAGCTTCCTGCCATCCAGGACCTCTATACCAGGCGGTGTCAGAGGAAGGCCCTCAAAATTGTCAAAGACTCCAGCCACCCTAGTCATAGACTGTTCTCTCTGCTACCGCACGGCAAGCGGTACCGGAGTGCCAAGTCTAGGTCCAAAAGACTTCTCAACAGCTTCTACCCCCCAAGCCATAAGACTCCTGAACAGCTAATCATGGCTACCCGGACTATTTGCACTGCCCCCCCCACCCCATCCTTTTTACGCTGCTGCTACTCTGTTAAGTATTTATGCATAGTCACTTTAACTCTACCCACATGTACATATTACCTCAACTACCTCAATTAGCCGGTGCCCCCGCACATTGACTCTGCAACGGTACCCCCCCTGTATATATAGCCTCCCTACTGTCACTTTATTTTACTGTATATATAGCCTCCCTACTGTCACTTTATTTTACTTCTGCTCTTTTTTTCTCAACACTTTTTTTGTTGTTGTTTTATTCTTACTTTTTTGTTTAAAATAAATGCACTGTTGGTTAAGGGCTGTAAGTAAGCATTTCACTGTAATGTCTGCACCTGTTGTATTCGGCGCATGTGACCAATAAAATTTGAACATGTTTGTTTATTTTAGCTGCAGAAACGTTTTTTTTCCTGTGGATAGGGGGGGTTTGGCTGTGGGACATGAAACAAGGGAATAACAGTGAGGAGGGGGGGGAGAGAAGAGAGAGAGAGAGAGAGAGAGAGAGAGAAGATTCCCATTTGTACTTTAACTATTTGCACATTGTTACAAAACACTGTATATATACATAATATGCACATTTGAAATGTCTTTTATTCTTTTGAAACTTCTGAGTGTAATGTTTACTGTTAATATTTATTGTTTATTTCACTTTTGTTTACTATCTACTTCCCTTGCTTTGGCAATGTTAACACACGTTCCCATGCCAATAAAGCCCTTAAATTGAAATTGAATTGAGAGAGAGAGAGAGAGAGAGAGAGAGAGAGAGAGAGAGAGAGAGAAGAGAGAGAGAGAGATATAGAGAGAGAGAGAGAAGAGAGAGAGAGAGAAGGAGAGAGAGAGATGAGAGATGATCAAACTCCCTTATCTACTGGGTGAAAAACCACAGTGTGCCATCACAGCTGCAATATTTGTTGACCTGTTGCCACAAAGAAAAGGGCAACCAGTGAAGAACAAACACCATTGTAAATACAAAACCCATATTTTGTTTATTTATTTTCCCATTTGTACTTTAACTATTTTGCACATTGTTTACAACACTGTTTTATATACATAATATGACATTTGAAATGTCTTTTTCTTTTTGAAACTTCCTGATGTAATGTTTACTGTTAATATTATTGTTTATTTCACTTGTTTACTATCTACTTCCCTTTCTTTGATTTAAAACAACTTTTCCCTGCCCAAAAAGCCCTTTAAATTAATTGAATTAAAAGAAAAAGAGGAAAAAGAAGGGAAGAAAAAGAGATAGCCCACCCGGGGGAATTGAAGAGAGGGGAGGGGCTGAGAAGGAGATGGAAGAAGGGAGGAGAGAGAGAGAGAGAGAGAAGAGAGAGGGAAGAGAGGAGAGAGAGGAGAGGAGGGGGAAGCTTTTCTTCAGTACCGGGGCCATAGCTATGTTCCGGGTCGGGTCCTTGGGGTTTCTCCCTAGTTATCGCTTTTTCCCCTTTTTCCCGCTTCCTCCCCTCCCTTCCCCTTTGTTCCTTTCTCTTCCTTTTCCGTCTTATTTTCTCCCGGTAATTTTTTCCTCTCTATCTCTCTCTCTCCGTCTCCCCTCTCTCTCCCCCCCCCCCCCCCTTTTTTTTCCCCCCCCTTTTCCCTTTCCCCCCCCCCCCCCCCCTTTTTTTCCCCTTTCCCCCTTTCCCCCCCCTTTTTTTTCTCCCCCTTTTTTCTTTTTTTTTTTTTTTCTTTTTTTTCCCGGGGTTTTTTCTTGCCCCCTTTTTCCCTTCCCCCAAAAAAACCCCCCGGGCCCCCTCCAAAACCCCCCCTTTTTTTCCCCTTTTGGCGGGGGGGGGGGGGGGTTTTTTTTTTTTTTCCCCGGCCTTTTTTCCCCTGTTTTCCCCCCCGTTTTCCCCCTTTTTTTTCTTTTTGATAAACCTTTTTTTTTCCTTTTGGGGCCCCTTTTTTGGGGTTTTTCCCCCCCCTTTTTTATGCAATTTTCCCATGTATTGAGAGCGAGGAAGAGAGGATGAGAGGGGCGTGAGGAGGAAGAAGAGGGAGAAGTGATCGGGTTTCTTTCTAAATTCTAAATAGATATAATAGAGAATATTATATAATTTCCCTTATCTCTACCGGTGACAACCACACATGTCATACACCTGCCATATTTGGAACCGTTGCCACAAGAAAAACGGGCAACCAGTAAGAACAAAACACACCTTGTACATACAACCCATATTATGTTTATTTATTTTTCCCATTTGTACTTTTAAACAATATAATTTGCCTTGTTCACACACTGTATATATACATAATAGCATTGAATTTAACGAAAAAAAAAAAAAAAAAAAAAAAAAAAAAAAAAAAAAAAAAAAAAAAAAAAAAAAAAAAAAAAAAAAAAAAAAAAAAAAAAAAAAAAAAAAAAAAAAAAAAAAAAAAAAAAAAAAAAAAAAAAAAAAAGGGAAAGGGAGAGTTCTTTTAAAAAATAAATCGGGCATTAAAAAAGGGGAAGAAAAGGTAATAAAAAATTTGGGAAGGGAGAGAGAATAAAGGGGAAGGAAGAAAATTTGGGGTTTTTCCCCTATGAAAGTCTAAAAAGGAAAGTAAAAAAAGGGAATGGTTATTTTCATAGTGGACGTTAAAGGAGTAATAAGGGGTTGGAGATTTTTATTTTTTAAATCTGAAAGGGGGGGTTTTATTTTTAAAAATTTGTTTTTTAAAATTTAAATCCTTTCCCATCCTATTTTTTCCTTTCCTCAATTCCTCTTTCACTAAAACCTCTAATAGTTTCATCCAACAACACAATCATTTTTTTAAACTTCTATTTTCAATTTTTTTTATTATTCTTGCCTTTTTTTCTCCACTTTTTTTTTTTTTTCTTAAATTATCGTTGGGTTTCCCCTTTCCAAAATTTAATTTTTAGGTGCATAAATTTTATGGATCTTTGAAACCAAATTACGTAGTATACCGCCTTTTCACAGAATAACCGGGAAAACAAAACCCATATAACCTTTCTTTTTTCCCCCGGGGGTTTTTTTTTTTTTTGGGGGGGGTTTTTTGGGTTTTCCTTTTGTTTTTTTTCCCCCTGTTTTTGGGGAAAAAAAACGGGGGGGAAAAAATTTTTTTTTTGGGGGGGGGGGGGGGGGGGTTTTTTTTTTTGGGGGGGGGGGCCCCCCCTTTTTTTCTTTTCCCCCTTTCTTTTTCTTTTTTTTTTTTTTTTTCCCTTCTCTTTCTTCTTCCAATCTTTTTCTTTTTTTCCCATTCAACACTAGGAACTTATTTCAAATTTAAAGTGATAATTTTTATCCTTTTCAAAAAGGGACCTTGGAAGGAATGTTACCCTTTTTTACCTCTTCTATATTATAAATAGGGGAATATTATTAACTCCCTTTATCTCCTTGTGAAAACCCCCATTGTTCCAATCACCGCAATTTTGTCCCTTTTGCAAAAAAAGGAAACCAGTGAAGAACACAACAACCATTGTAATACAACCCAATTTATGTTTTATTTATTTTCCCTTTTGTACTTTAACTATTTGCACATTGTTACAACACTGTATATATACATAATATGACATTTGAAATGTCTTTATTCTTTTGAAACTTCTGAGTGTAATGTTTACTGTTAATATTTATTGTTTATTTCACTTTTGTTTACTATCTACTTCCCTTGCTTTGGCAATGTTAACACACGTTTCCCATGCCAATAAAGCCCTTAAATTGAAATTGAATTGAGAGAGAGGTCCTCTGTAGCTCAGCAGGTAGAGCACGGCGCTTGTAACGCCAAGGTAGTGGGTTCGATCCCCGGGACCACCCATACACAAAAATGTATGCACGCATGACTGTAAGTCGCTTTGGATAAAAGCGTCTGCTAAATGGCATATTATTATTATTATTATTATTACTTTATTTTACTTCTGCTCTTTTTTTTCTCAACACTTTTTTTGTTGTTGTTTTATTTTTACTTTTTTTGTTTAAAATAAATGCACTGTTGGTTAAGGGCTGTAAGTAAGCATTTCACTGTAATGTCTGCACCTGTTGTATTCGGCGCATGTGACCAATAAAATTTGATTTGATTTGATTTGATGGCTGTAACCAACACTGTAGGTGGATCTAGGAGTCTGGATGGTAGCAGTTGAACATTCACCTTGTCCCAGTAGCAAATCAGGTCCTGGATCTCCACAGAAGGCTCTCTCTTCTCCTCCTGGAGGAATCCATGGTTGCTTTTCACAATCTCATCCAACAGGAGGAAAGTCTGTGGGAGTGGAAACAAGAGTTCAACAGCGATATACAGCCATGTCTCATCATGTTAATAAAACCACCACATCCAGATGGATCCGAGGCTTTTTTTAAAATCCTTTTGGATTGAGATGACATGTTTGAGGATCTTGATTGCAATGATGCCTGTTACTTCCCTGGCTTTGAACAATCAGATGACATACAGTATTGAAAAGCCTGGCTGTGGCTCAGATAAGTCCCGTGATGATTTTCCAGTCACTGATCATAAAGTCTGATAATGTGACAGGATTACATAATGAGTCTTAGGGGATCAGCCAGATCCAGCGCTGGGCCTTATGTTTCACATTGGCATCCAGGCAACTGTCAGGACAGCACATCTAAAATTAACTAAAAGGAGCCCAGCGCAGAGACGACACCTGCACTCTCAGAAGCCAACACGTGCAGAAGAGGAGCCTAGCACAACCTCAGGAGAGCTCTGGTATTGTATGGTTCACACATCAGAGATAATAAATCTGTCAACAGAGATGATAATAATATATCTGTCAACAGAGATGACCATACCTTGATCCGGCGGACGCTGATGCGCGTCTCAGACAGTTTCTCTACGGCTGAGGGGAAGAAGAGGGTGACGGTGAGGCGGACGGCACTGTACAAAGACACGGCCACAAACACCCGGCTGGCTGAGATGGTGTTCCCCAGGAGGACGTAGACGGTGAAGGTGATGAAGACGATGATCTTACTGGCCGCAAAGAAGGAGGCCATGTTGAGGCCTCGCAGGTAGGAGCTAGACATGATCTTGGAGATCTCTTTCCTGAGGGAAGAATGAGAGGTGTTCAGTAACATAGCCTAACAAAAAACAAACTAAGGAAGCATTTCAATACATATGCTCTGATGAAAAACAAGGCCGTATATCAATATGCCTGAGGATGCTACATGAGTGACATGAAAACCAGGAAGACACACTGATAACATGGCTGTGATGACGGTGTTGGTTCATCTGGCGGCCGGCCACTGTGTTATCTTAGCCCTGTGAGTGTGTGTAAACATGTGGATATTCAAAGGGAGAGGAGCAGGGGTTGTCCTGTTGCATGGGGAGAGGTTGTTGCTGTCCAGACTTCAAACAGAGCCAATGTGCACCACAGATTCACTCAGTCAGTGTCATTATGAACCACTGCACGAGGAATCCCTATATAGCCCTTTAATAAAACAACAACTAAATCTGAGCAATTCAGAGTTATTTATATCACTGGGAAGAACCATGGGCACCTTGTTCTCCATGTACTAACAGACAAGTGACAGATTTAGACAGCCTTATGACTGGATAGTAGTGTCCATGTCACACAGCTCTGTGAGGTGGAGAAGCTGTAACCCATTAATGTGCCAGTGGCTTTGCGCCAGCTCTGTGATCCGGTGTCCATTTTAGGACATCATCGTAGTATACAACTGAGTGTACATTAAGGACACCTTCCTAATATTGAGTTGCACCCCCTTTTTGCCCTCAGAACAGCCTCATTTCGTCAGGGCATGGAATCTACAAGGTGTCAAAAGTGTTCCACAGGGATGCTGGCCCATGTTGACTCATTACATTTACATTTTAGTCATTTAGCAGACGCTCTTATCCAGAGCGACTTACAGTTAGTGAATAAATGTGGGTTTTTTTTATTATTTTTTTATTATACTGGCCCCCCCTGGGAATCGAACCCACAACCCTGGCGTTGCAAACGCCATGCTCTATCAACTGAGCTACATCCCTGCCGGCCATTCCCTCCCCTACCCTGGACGACGCTGGGCCAATTGTGCGCCGCCCATGAGTCTCCCGGTCGCGGCCGGCTGCGACAGAGCCTGGATTCGAACCAGGATCTCTAGTGGCACAGCCTTAGACCACTGCGCCACTCAGGAGGCTCAGGAAGACTCCAATGATTCCCACAGTTGTGTCAAGTTGGCTGGATGTCCTTTGAGTGGTGGACCTCTCAATTGGTAGAGCATGGCGCTTGTAACGCCAGGGTAGGGGGTTCGATCCCCGGGACCACCCATACGTAAAAATGTATGCACACATGACTGTAAGTCACTTTGGATAAAAGCGTCTGCTAAATGGCATATTATTATATTATTTGATACACACGGGAAACTGTTCAGTGTGAAAAACTCTACAGCGTTGCAGTTCTTGACACAAAACGGTGTGCCTGGCACCTACTACCATACCCCATTCAAAGGCACTTAAATGTTTTGTCTTGCTATTCACCCTCAATGGCATGCATACACTATCCATGTCTCAAAAATCCTTCTTTAAGCTGTCTCCTCCCCTTCATCTACACTGATTGAAGTGGATTTAACAAGTGACATCAATAAGGGATCATAGCTTTCACCTGGTCAGTCCATGTCATGGAAAGAGCAGGTGTCCTTAATGTTTTGTACACTCAGTGTACATGGTGGTTGTGTGTCAGAGGCCCACTAGCAATACCACACCAGGCAATAGTGGTTGTTATAAAAAGTAGGGTTGGGCGGTATCCAGATTTTCATACCGCTTCTGTACACTACCGGGGTACGGGGTTACCGGCAGTGCACACAAGGGGGCGCCATTTCTTTCCAAACATTTTTAAAAAATGCTTACAAATTACTAGCGTATTCTCATAGCGGATGCTTGCTAATTGCTAACAAGTGCAAGTCAACATAAACAAATTGCAAGGACAGACATCCCTGCTCATAAAGCTGTATAACTATCTCAAAAGGCTGGCTATAAGGTGAATGCACCAATTTGTAAGTCGCTCTGGATAAGATGGATGACGTAAATGTAAATGGTTTGCTGCACGCACAAAACAAATATTAGACAGCAGGGTTCTTGATCCAGGAGGGGATTGATCGTCTCTGCTGTAACCAAGAAGCTTGATCTTGCAGGCTAGCAAACCAAATGCATAGCTGGAGCCCTGAGTTGGAGAAAATGTATTTGGCACATCTTAGATAGTTAAACGTATAGCTATAGGATATTTAGCTGGCAAACATTAGTCGTGAATTTCAAGTGTAACTTGATCACCTATGTTGCGCTGGACAACAGTTGTCACAAAATTGTTGTCACTTCCGTTGATTGTCTCAATCAGCTGCTTTGGGGAAGGGCTTCATAATGAAAAAAACAAAGCAACAGGCGAAATGAAGTACACGATCTGGTTTATCTATTAACCTAGTGCACAAGATGACTGCAGGTATTTATTTTAAAATAACGAATATACATATACATTTTATTAGGTACACCACCCCGTTCACGAAAATAGTTTGCTCCTACAGACAGAAATTCACATGGCCGTGGCTTGCTATATAAAGCAGGCAGATAGGCATTCAGTTACTGTTCGATTGAACGTTATAATGGGCAAAGCGAGTGACCTAAGAGACTTTGAGCGTGGTATGATCGTCGGTGACAGGCGTGCCGGTTCCAGTATCTCAGAAACGGCCGGCCTCCTGGACTTTACGACAGTGTCTAGGGTTTACCGAGAATGGTGCAACAAACAAAAAACATCCAGTCAGCGGCAGTCCTGTGAGCGACAACAGCTCGTGATGAGGTCAAAGGAGAATGGCAATAATCGTGCAAGCTAACAGGGGGCCACAAACAGGTAAATAACGGTGCAGTACAACATTGGTGTGCAGAACGGCATCTCGGAACGCACAACTCGTCAGTCCTTGACACAGATGGGCTATTGCAGCAGACGACCACACCGGGGTTCTACTCCAATCAGCTAAAAACAAGAAGAAACGGCTCCAGTGGGCACAATATCACCAACACTGGACAATTGAGGAGTGGAAAAACATTGCCTGGTCCGACGGTAGAGTCAAGATTTGGCGTAAGCAGCATGAGTCCATGGCCCCATCTTGCCTGGTGTCAACGGTACAGGCTGGTGGCGGTGGTGTAATGGCGTGGGAATGTTTTCCTTGCACACGTTAGGTCCCTTGATACTAATTGAGCAACGTTTCAATTTCCCCGAAGAATTCAGGCTGTTCTGGAGACAAAGGGGGGTCCGACCCGATACTAGATGTGTACCCAATAAACTGGCCACTGAGTAAATATATTGACAGTATTGAAAATCATACGGTAGGTATTTTAAAATACCCCAGTATACCGCCCATGCCTAATGAAAAGGGTTAATCACTAGGATTTCAGTCGATTTGACTGACAAATGTATGTTTGTATAACTTATACATTTGTGTCAGTGTTACTTTGGCACAAAGTACTAGATCGTAGATAATCTTATCTAAAATGTCTCACGTTAGGTCTCGACAAACCCTCAGGAAAGACACATGAATGTAGTTAGTGTGTTTGACAGGTTCCTTAATAAACATCACGTTACAACATCACAAGAAGCTATTGTTAGTGTCGATTCCTCAGCACAGGAAAATTAGAAGAGGAAGGTCTTTGGTTAAAACACGCCATGGGACCTTCACTCGCGTCAGCAATCCTAACAGGACAACCAGCTGGAATGAATCATGGGTGATGACTGTGAGAGAATTCTTGAAATAACACATTTCACAATCTGTAATGGGCTTCGGACAATAGCGCTTGTTAAGTAAGCGTTATTACAGTAACAATATATACAAATCTAACACTATCTCAATATTGAGTTTGTTCTGTGCAGTGGGATCAGTTCAAAATCTTCAAGGTTATACTTTGTTTTACCTTCTGACATCATTGACCAGTGCTGAGAAGGGCTTCTCCCAGGCATACATTTTGATGATCCTGATTCCAGACACCACTTCATTCATTGTGCGTATCCTATTGTCAGTCAAGGCAGCTGTTTTACTCCTGCAAGGAAAGGACAGTCATACATTAGGTATGGGTTCCTCAACTGGCAGTCCGTGTTTTTGTTTTATCCCCCAAAAATGTGATTTTTATTGTTGGACATTAAAGACTGTAAAAACACAAAAATCAAATTCAAGTGATTTTTATTTTGGAAATCTGTTCCAAAGTATCCCCACGCATAATAGAGAGATACACATGATCGTATCCAAATGTAAGCACGGTTTCAAATGATTATGTTTTAGTCAAATATTATTATCTGTTTGGGCTTCTTGCGGCCAATTTGCAGTCTACAAATTATTTGTAATTGTGTTCCGACCCCGACCATCTCCTTAAGAAGAAAAAAAATGTCGTCTCACGGCTGAATCTAGTTGATGATCCCTGCATTAGGTTATCAAAAGGACCACTATATATTTCTTAGACAAACCTGGTTTATTGACAAGATAGCCAATGATGTCCTAAATAGTCCATGTTAGGGTTAGGGTTATGTTCTCATAAAAGCAGGCCAAAGATCAGTTTACAAAGCCATTGGTATGTTCATTGGGTTTCGTATTGGGCAAGCTATGCAGCAGAGCAGGAGGTGGAGGAAAAGGTACTCAGTAGACAATAATAAACTCCTTGACCTCCCTGCTTGTTTTGAAAAATCTACAGCGCAGACTCCTATCTACATTATTGCGTGTTACCTGAACTTGGAGAAGAGCCTTCCGAACATGGTCTGCGTTGGCATGAGGACGACGAGGACGGCCATGCCTGCGAGGCATGATGGGCCAATCTCCACCCACAGCAGCCCAAGGACGGCCGCCGCCTGGAGAGGCCCCACCCACAGGAAGTGCAGGAAAATAGTCACCTGTAACCAAGCGGGGGGAATCATGTGTTGAACTCATAGGGTGACAGATTATGGTACATCAATGGTCTCAAACTCCCACCCGCAGGCCACCACAGTAGCTTATGGGCCTGATGTGGCCCACAAGCCACGAGTTCTAGACCCCTGTGTTACATCTATAACATGGCTGCTTTATCTACACTGTAGTTTGATGCTACAGTCACTGAATCGGAATGTGTACGTTCCATTCAGCCATGTTCTAAACAGTAATAACGCAAAGTACTACTCCTCCAAATAGGTGGAGTGTGTATAGTGAGTGCTAGTATATGGGGTCACTGTGCTCTTTATCGTGTCTTTATTCTCCAACAGAGGCTACCGGCTCTGTACCAGCATCTTTCCTTGACTTTGAATCACTGACCACAATATGCAACAAAACAGTGGGGTGCAGTAGGCAACTCAAATGTTAATTTGTCTGCCCAGTGCCCAGACCTTTATCAGAATGCACAGTACTGTACTTCACAGTCTGTTACCAAGAAACAGATACTTTTAGATGCCAAAATATGTTACGTTTTCACCCCGGGTTTCGGCACACTGATTAAAATTAAACTTGAGTGTTAACCTGCATGGTGCCAGTCAAAGTAACAACTCAGTCAGCCTTTTGCCACTTATGCAACCTTCCAGGGTTGAAGTAACAGAGCTGATAATGGATTGTGTCTGTCTGTCTGCACAGTGGATCAGAAGTTCATAAGTATGGCTTAATTTTCAACAGATTTTTTCTGCTTTTGCTAATAGACTAAGTCGGCAAGATGCAAAGTGATAATAAAAAAGTTAAAATGACAGGGTTCATACCTCATCAAACTTGTTGACATCGTTGGATAGCAGGTTCACTATTTGGCCTGTGGTTGTTTTTCCCATCGCTGCACTGCTGAGACACAGGGCCTGGGGGGACACATACATTACCAAGTTAATTATTGCAAACTCAATCAATTACATGCATCACTAAGTAATTTGTCACTGTCACGATACAAAGAAAATACCCACGTGTCAGTTTGGAAAGGAAGCCATACCCTAGAGCAGGGTTTCCCAACCCTCTCCTCAGGGACCACTAGACGTTTCACATTTTTGTTGTAGCCCTAAACTGGCACACCTGATTTAGTTACTCTACCAATCATCAAGCCCTTGAATAATTTAATCAGGTGTGCAAGTTTAGGGCTACAACAAAAATGTGAAATGTATGGTGGTCCCTGAGGAGAGGGTTGGGATGTACTGCCCTAGAGTTAGGCTGTCAAACTCATTCCACGGGGGGCCGAGCGTCTGCAGGTTTTTAGTTTTTCCTTTCAATTAAGACCTAGACAACCAGGTGAGGAGAGTTCCTTACTAATTAGTGACCTTAATTAATCAATCAAGTACAAGGGTGGAGCGAAAAACCCGCAGACACTCTGCCCTCTGTGGAATGAGTTTGACACGTTCAAGTTCAGGACATCAGATATGACCTTGAAAAAAACGTGAAAAAGGCGTGCAGGCATGTGTCTCTTATGCTGACCTTCCTGTAGATCATGTGACACATGGCCACTCGCATCTTCATGCCGGCCCTCTGGACGTGGAAGAAGTAGAGGTGATGCGTGATGGCCAGGATCAGGCTGGACAGACAGACACCAGCAGCATAGCCAAAGGCCTCATACAGGGCGTCCATATTATCAGGATCATACTTCTCAAAGTACTGGATCATCTTTCCCAAGAACACTGGCTGGATCACTTTAATCACCTCCTATTGGGGGAACAAGAGATAGAGAATACAACATATAGAGGATATGAGGTGAATCCATAGCTTGATATATAAACATATGTCTAAGCTATCATTGGAATTCCCTAGCAGGGTACCAGTAAGTCTTACACAAGTCGTGTCTTTTTTCTACATACCTCAATAAGAGTAAAGATCCCCAGCACTGCGTAGGGTTTCCAGTAGCACTTGATGAGGACTTTGGTGAGTTTGGGAGGCCTGAGCTCTTTGGCAGCCTTCTGCACCTCATGGTCCCAGTGCCTGTGGAAAGATGGCCTTCCTGTTACTATGGGAGAATCTCAATTGCAATGCCTTGATTTCTCACCTGCTCTCCAATGAATTTTTGAGAAGGAGGCGAGGACCGAGGACGCAAGGAATCTCTATACAGTGAGGGAAAAAAGTATTTGATCCCCTGCCGATTTTGTACATTTGCCCACTGACAAAGAAATGATCAGTCTATAATTTTAATGGTAGGTTTATTTGAACAGTGAGAGACAGAATAACAACAAAAAAATCCAGAAAAACGCATGTCAAAAATGTTATAAATTGATTTGCATTTTAATGAGGGAAATAAGTATTTGACCCCCTCTCAATCAGAAAGATTTCTGGCTCCCAGGTGTCTTTTATATAGGTAACGAGCTGAGATTAGGAGCACACTCTCTTGGATGAGAACCTCCTTCCCTCAGCCAGGGCATTGAAAATGGGTCATGGATGGGTATTCCAGCATGACAATGACCCAAAACACACGGACAAGGCAACAAAGGAGTGGCTCAAGAAGAGGCACATTAAGGTCCTGGAGTGGCCTAGCCAGTCTCCAGACCTTAATCCCATAGAAAATCTGTGGAGGGAGCTGAAGGTTCGAGTTGCCAAATGTCAGGCTCGAAACCTTAATGACTTGGAGAAGATCTGCAAAGAGGAGTGGAACAAAATCCCTCCTGAGATGTGTGCAAACCTGGTGGCCAACTACAAGAAACGTCTGACCTCTGTGATTGCCAACAAGGGTTTTGCCACCAAGTACTAAGTCATGTTTTGCAGAGGGGTCAAATACTTATTTCCCTCATTAAAATGCAAATCAATTTATAACATTTTACATGTGTTTTTCTGGATTTTTTTGTTGTTATTCTGTCTCTCACAGTTCAAATAAACCTACCATTACAATTATAGACTGATCATGTCTTTGTCAGTGGGCAAACGTACAAAATCAGCAGGGGATCAAATACTTTTTTCCCTCACTGTAGGTACCTGGATGTTCAATTCTGCATTGCATCATGTGGTGATACCATTGCACTTAAAGGGGAAATCTGGGATTGGTACATCTATTTCGTGATATTTAAATTAATTATATATAGCCATTGATTTGTGAGCTTAGTTCAACTGTCTTACTCCATCACAGCCCAAAATATAAGCTTGTTTTACTCCACTGTGTCTAAACAATGTTATTGTAAACAAACACTATACATCTTCAAAACATGGTCATTTTGACCTCATTGCTCCGTTTGTGAATTTGAGAGTATGAATGTGTAACTCAAAGATAACTCACTTACTGAAGGTTCATAATGTAAACAATATCAGATCAGTCTTGAATTACGTCCTAATTACACACCAATGTGTCACCAGATCACACACCTTTAAATAGTTCTGAAGTAACCACATTAATTTGTAATTTTAAAGTATATCAAGGTCGTTCCCTGCAAAAAAAAAAGTTGTTATTGTTTTTATTACTCAAACCACCTGCGGGCCGGATTGGACCCCCTCCAATGTTTGACACCCCTGTTTCGATAAAGACAACGGATTGGTCAGCCTGACCACATTTAACAGACATAGGATATGTTGTTTAAATTTGTGTACCTCCATTTAGTATGATATGTTACATTGCGAATGGAATAATGGTCCGGTTACTTAAGACAGAAACAAAAGTTGGGTGGTTGGTCAGGGAGGATGGGTGGGTGGGCATATAATGCGACCATCCAGCAACTCAAAGGTTGCATGTTTTAGTCGCATTTTAGCTAACCGATTCCCCTAACCTCAACTTAAATTCTCTATACCAGCTAAGTAAATACTCCTAACCTGCTGCTTTAGCCGCCAACGTTAGCCACAAATGCTAAAGACACAACAAGAAGCCTGGCCTCAGAGCGAGACGTATAATACTATACGTCCTCCAATATCCTTGATACATTCAGTCATCCAATTTGTATGATGTGGTACGACCGTTATTCCATTTGTAACGTAACGTCCCATACTAAATGGAGGGATACAAATGTACATTCTAAATCCTACGAATTGCACTGAGGCCAGGTTGGATTTAGACAATGTCTTGGTGAAATGCTGAAACATGTATTTATTTTCTCCCTCATCATTTACAGGAGGGTATGCATGCTTCCTTTTATTGAGCTATTTCATAATCGTCCTTGAAAGCAGGCAGGCCAAGCAGCCTGTAAAATATTAACAATGACTACGGGGGGCCAGTATGAAAAATGTATGCACTCACTAATTGTAAGTCGCTCTGGATAAGAGCGTCTGCTAAATGACTAAAATGTCAATTGGATCACCAAAAAATAATTTTTAAAAATGACATGTTAAATGCAGCAACTCCTTTCCATCTATTTATCAAAGGGTAAACAGCCAACATTATATGGCTTTCATGATATGCTTGGTGTATAGTAGTGGGAGCATAAACATCCTCAGGTGGGCGATAAGCAACTGGTTCGAAGGCCATTCCGCTATTACGTTCTATTTAAGGTGATGTTTGGGCTTGATTAACCACAATTCAACAGGCCACTTCTGACTTAGTTCAGAATGATACGTTTGCCATACCTCTGTAGTTCCTCTCCCAGTCTCTCAGATCCATCCTCCGGAAGCACTTTGTACATATCATCTTCCTCTAGCCTCCGTTTGTATCCAATGCGGAACAAAGGATTTAGCCAGCTGATGAAAAAGGAGAGAGAATATATGGAGAAAGGGGAAGAGAACAGCGGTAGAGAAGAAGAGAAGAGTTTAATACATGTATAATACATGTAGTGTTACATTCAGGATGAGCAGGGCAATGTATGCAGTAGACCAGGGTTTCCCAAACTCGGTACTGGAATCTTATTTGGCGCTATGCTTGATCCAAGACTGGATGCTTCAACAGGAAATTGTAATTTCATGGTGGGGAAACCATTGAATTACATGGGGAAAACGCACTTTATGTGTTATAAACCAGACTAGTGCTTTTTAGGTTATAATAGTGTTCATATCACGTTATAACTAATTTAATTAACAGCAAATCTTCGTTTAACCCCTCGAAAACTAAATTTTCCCTAATATGTTTTGAATAGCCTAACAATACCACTTTCAGCAATCACTTTCGTTTTGATAGTGGCGTTAACATTTAACGTTAAGTGTATGCTTTGAAAGGTTGGACACAGCAACAACGAAAATACAGTGGCTAACTCTAGGTCAACTTAGTTTAAATTTAACGACTACCTGTAGAGCCTAACTAGCTCAGCTTTATTTCAATAACCCGGCGGCGAAGGTTGTTGACTTACCAGAAGAATACCTGGGAGAAAAGATTAGCTGTTGCCGATGGATTCGTCTTCTCATCTTTTTTTACCGGTTCCATATTGCCCTGCTGGCCCTATTCAACCGCTTGGCCAACTTCCACACGTGCGGTGCGACAATGTCCGCTACCTCCACTCTTCAAAACTGTTACTTTATTTCCTGTTGTGTAACTTTGTTGCACGCACATGGTACTAGGTTACAAGACAGACAGCCAATAGAACATGTGAAAATTATGTCAAGCCAATCACTGATCTCGAGTCGGAATTGTGCTGTGGCACGCCACGCGCTAGCTAGCGCCAAACTGGCTCGTCACTATTTACCAAAGTCATATTCCCCGCCTATTTCTACAATTTATCTACTTAAAATGTTATTTTAAACCTAACCTAAGTCATATTCCCCGCCTATTTCTACAATTTATCTTCTTAAAATGTTATCTTAAACCTAACCTTAACCTTAACCACACTGCTAACCTTATGCCTAACCTTAAATGAAGACCAAAAAGCTAATTTGGGTTTTCATTAATTTTTACGATATAGCCCATTTTGACTTTGGTAACTAGTGGAAACTCCAGAGAGAGCCGTGGAAATATAGTAATAGGTGGAAATCAATAGCTGCCGTCTCATTCAGTAATGTATATACACATAGTATTGCATTCTACATCCTTTCTAGGAGTAGAGCCAAGTTTACTCTAAGGACAACTTCTATCTGGAGCTAACTTCGAGTTCATGAACCACCTGGTTCACTTGAAGGCATTGGTTTATTGATAACATGAACACTACAAACATACTGCTGCAAACTAGTAGGGTCATTCCACTAATTCAGTGCCTTTTGAGAAGTGTAACTTAGTCCCAAAAAAACGTTAGATTTCACCTCATTTTAACATTCTGTCATAAAGAGCACATACATGTTCAACTTAATAAAAAAAAGTTTTCCCATCTCAAAAGGTTAAATATTTGGCACTTAAGTGCCTATTAAGTGCCAAATAAAATAACAGGGTTGACCTTAACAGGGATGATGATTATTTTTTAATCAGCCATAAATCCCCTTGTGACAGGGGAAATAGAAGGTACTTGTGTGAAACAGGGAGTGGGAATTGAATGAAAGCTTCACAAATTTGTCTTCATTGCTTCGACCTGCTCAGTTTTCCACCAGAAAATGGCCAAAAACAGTAGAACCAGCTCACCTCCTTTTACTCTATGATTTGACTATTAGATGTTCAATGTTTCTTTTGAATAAAAAAAGGAATAGATTCACCATATTAAAACGAGAGTTCAGTTCCAGGAACAGGGTTGTCCTTAAAATGAGGGACAGACATAAATCACTAATCACATGAAATAAATAATAATCTTCAGACATTACTTTGTCAAAGCGAGAAAATAACTTGGGCTTTACAATGATGGTGAAACTTGGAGACATTTTTGGATTATGTGGGTTAAAAATCTTCCTAGAAGTGACACAGGGTTGACAGAGGCTGAATATTGGCACTTTAGCAAGCCTGTATTTATATACAAAAAATCTGGTTTATTTATTATTCTCAATGTGTTCTATATTAAAGGGCACTTCATTTAATATAACAGGCTTTTAAAATTCAATGTTGGTGCACAATTTCTACTTAAAATATAAAAGAAAAGGCACTCTTTTTGTGGAACGAACCTCTAACAAATATAAATGAGAGCTACAGTCTTGATAGTTTGAGTGCATCAACATCAAACATGCATCTTCGGTGATAAGAACCATAAATAGGTGTCCTAAATAGGTGTGGCACAAAACTAACTGTAAACCTGGCTGTGTGTTTATGTTCCTGAATCCCGGCTAACAAAAACATATCCTCACAACATATGTAGCCTATCAGGTTCCAGGGATGTGATCTGGTTTCTCTCTCTAGCAGAAAGGATAGTAAACAGTGACACCATGACAACCATCTGTTATATATTAGTGCTGTGGGAAATATGTACTCAGAGAGGATCTAACCTTCAAGCAACACATGTAACCACACAGAGAGCAAAAACTTTTCAGCATGCGCATACTCTATTCTTGACCCAGAGCACTTTTGAATATAATTTTCAACAGTAAAAACTACTGTAGACCTGCTGTAGGGCTCACTGAAGCATCACTCTCTCTTTTCTCTCTCGCCTCTCTCTCTATAGCCACGTTTATACCTGGCGCTAACATGCGTCCTTCGTCCTGATCTTATCCACATTCAGAAATGTGTCTACACATCGTATTCAAATGTCTCATATCCTTCCACTGTGTCCGCATTGTGACCAGATTTCCTGGTCCGTCCCTGTATGCAAATTATTTGACAGCTATTCTTTCGAAATAATATGTGTTTATTTATTTTAAGACACATATTGATGCCATAAGTCAATGGTCCCACTGGGCACACACTGGTTGAATCAACGTTGTTTCCACGTCATTTCAATGAAATTAAGTGGAACCAACGTGGAATACACGTGGAATAGACATTGAATTAACATCTGTGCCCAGTGGGGTGCCACCTTTCAATGATTTTAGAAGGTTCAATAATAATGTTTTAAATGGTTTCACTGTCTATATCTGTCTACACTTGTAAGATATCCGGACACAATGCGTGCCTGACTACCTCCAGAGGTGGTCAGGAAGATTGGATCACAATGCATCTTTTAATCGTCTACACCTGTCTGAAAATGTGGGCACAATCAAAATGTGGAAAAATCAGGACAAAGGATTAATGTTAGAACCAGGTATAAACGGGGCTTCTCTCTCTGGTACCCTACAAAGATAAATCAATGAAAGAGTGGATTGCAGATGACAGATGCACTATGACACTCCAGGTGGGTCCTTCTTCAGATAAAGGGGTGGACAAGGGAGTGGCTCGGGAGCTCTTGAGGAAGCAGAAGTGTCCTAACTCTTTTTCTCTTTCTCTCTCTCTCTCTCTCTCTCTCTCTCTCTCTCTCTCTCTCTCTCTCTCTCTCTCTCTCTCTCTCTCTCTCTCTCTCTCTCTCTCTCTCTCTCTCTCTCTCTCTCTCTTTTCTCTTTCTCTCAATTCAATTCAAAGAGGATTTATTGGCATGGGAAACGTGTTTACATTGCCAAAGCAAGTGGAATAGATAACAAAAAGAGAAATAAACAAAGGAAATAAACAATCAGAAATTAACAAAAGTTTTAAAATAATATAGACATTTAAAATGTTATATTATTGGCTATGTTGTAACAATGTGCAAATAGTTGAAGTATGAAAGGGAAAATAAATAAACAGATACATATTGGTTGTATTTACAATGGTGTTTGTGCTCCACTGGTTGCCTTTTTCTTGTGGCAACAGGTCACAAATCTTGTCTGCTGTGGTGGCATACTGTGGTATTTCACCTAATAGATATGGGAGTTTATCAATATTGGATTTGTTTTCAAATTCTTTGTGTGTCTGTGTAATCTGAGGGAAATATGTGTCTCTAATATGGTCATACATTTGGCAGGAGGTTAGGAAGTGCAGTTCGGTTTCCACCTCATTTTGTGGGCAGTGGGCACATAGTCTGTCATCTCCTGAGAGCCAGGTCTGCCAATGGCGGCCTCTCTCAATAGCAAGGCTATGCTCACTGAGTCTGTACATAGTCAAAGCTTTACTTAATTTTGAGTCAGTCACAGAGGTCAGGTATTCTGCTACTGTGTACTCTCTGTTTAGGGCCAAATAACATTCCAATTTGCTTATTTTATTTGTTGATTCTTTCCAATGTTTTTAGTAATTATCTTTTTGTTTTCTCATTATGGATTTTTATAACTAGTGGGAATTGTCCTAATTCTGCTCTGCATGCATTATTTAGTGTTTTTTGTCCTGCATTTCATTCAATGTAATTTGATAATCTAGTGGGCTCTGGTAGTCTTTAATAGCTCACTCTAAGATTTGTAATTGATCATGTATGGTTTTGCTGTTTTGTCTTTGATATAGGGCCAAAAAGATTGTAGAAGTGGTTTATCCATACATCTCCATTTTGGATAGATAACTCTTCATGTTGTTTGTTTAGTGTGTTCCAATTTTCCCAGAAGTGGTTAGATTCTATGGATTCTTCAATTACATTGAGTAATTCTTTCTTAGTGTATTTCTGTACTGTTTCTGTGTTTCACCATAGTGAAGGCGTAGGCTCAGGTTTTCTGGGTCTCTTTGTTTTTGGTTGGATAGGTTCCTAAATTCCTTTCTTAGGTTATGGCATTCTTCATCAATCCATTTGTCATTGTTGTTAATTTTCTTAGGTTGTCTGGTTGAAATGTTTAGATTTGATAGGGAAGCTGAGAGTTCAAATATACTATTTAGGCTTTCTACTGCCAAGTTTACACCTTGGCTATTGCAGCAAAACATTTTGTCCAGGAAGCAGTGGTGGAAAAAGTACCCAATTGTCATACTTGAGTAAAAGTAAAGATACCTTAATAGAAAAAGACAAAAAGTAAGTGAAAGTCTCCCAGTAAAATACTACTTGAGTAAAAGTCTAAAAGTATTTGGTTTAAAATATACTTAAGTATCAAAAATAAATGTAATTGCTAAAATATACTTAAGTATCGAAAGTAAATCATTTCAAATTCCTTATATTAAGCAAACCAGACGGCACAATTTTCTTGTTTTTTAAATTTATGGATAGCCAGGGGCACTCTCAAAACACTCAGACATAATTTACAATATATTGGAGAGGGAATGCTGTTTTAGTGGATGAGAGAAGGTGATACTCACGACTGGCGACTTGCAGGCCCTGAGGCCCAGCGTGAACACTCAATCACGATTTATGACATAGTTTGGATGGCTGACCATTTGTGGGCTAACACAGGGGTCAAACACACCTTATCTGTGGATTTCTCCGAGGCGGGACGTTCCCACGGAAGTCCTGGGGTCACTGACACCAGGAGAGGTATGAAATCGATGAAATTAATGTTACTGTGTGAATTAAATTGTCATGTTTGGATTGTTTGAAGAGTTTATAAAGAGCCATTAATTATGATATATTTTATTTTACTGTAAGTGCTATGGATTTAATGTTACAGGGAAGCTGTATTATTTTGTTCTTTGGACGGCGGATAGTTCAAAGAGGAGCGACACAGAGGTGCGCTCCTATCATTTAAATTGATTAGATTAGAATCTGGGTGTGTTGTTCCTGTCTTTTGATTTTACTAGCAAAGTGTAAAGAAATGCTAATTCAGGTTGGGGGTCAGTTTCTGCT